GTGAGAAACCTTAACAAAGCTACTTATGGGATTATTCCCATATGGCAGTTTTTTCCCCTTTTTCTGAATTTGAATTAAGTTTTTTTGATGGATAACTTGAACGCTGCTTCAAATGGTCCATGTTCCTTTTTTTTTTTGACCCTTTTTGGCATAATTATGAAAGGGCTAAAAATCAGGTATTTTTTTTTAATCACACAATTTATAAAGGCCCATATTCTTATGCCAAAGAATTCTGCCCTTTGAAACTGCTCCATTAAGCTTAGTCAGGTTGATCAATAATGAGAGTGACTTGAAGACATAGAACAGCAACATCTATAGGTTCATTGATTCAATCTTAAACCAGCAAACAATCAATCCAAATATATTTGGATTTAATGTACCCTTTGGGAAGGATCCAATCCAAATCCTTACTTTCTTTATAAGCACATCTTTCAGTATTACCTGAGATGTAGCATTTCTCAAATGAAGATAATATGCCAAAATGTACAGGGAAGTTATACATGATCAAATACATATTACCAAGAATTCTAAGCAAATAACTACTGTAGATGTTGAATATTGCTGTATGAGTACACTTGTTTTCCTTCTGAAATGCCAACTTCTGCATCTCCCTGACTTTAGAAGGTACTAAATAGACCTGAGTGTAGAATGATATTTTTTTGTGTCTGTTCTTGCACCTCTCTGGAGAAAATGAAGTCATCAGAATTCCTGAAATAATTAAAAAATGTCACAGTATGAATATTCATGGACTGGAATAGATCAGCCAATGGGGACTGAGCGGAGACATGGTAACAAGGTCAGCCAATGAATAGGCATGGTAACAGGCTCAGCCAATGAAGGCTGTTTAGAAACAGAAACTTAAGCTAGAAATCTGGGTGTGGCTTAGGCAACTGAGTCTGTTGCAGAAGCTTAACTGCCCTCTATAGAGGAGGCTCTCTTTGTATTAAGCTCTGTGCTCAGCTCTGAAATGAAACAAGTCTGGACTTGCATCTCTGCTGTACTGCTGCTTGTGTTTTGCTTGTAACTCAGGGGTGAAATGCTCCCGGTTCGGACCAGATCGCCCGATCCGGTAGCGATGGTGGCGGGTGGTTCGGAGAACCAGTAACAAAAATCCCTGCAGCCCCCGCCCCATGCTCAGCTGAGTCGCACGATCATCAGAGGCTTTTTTTTTTTACTTTTAAAAGCATTTTTTCTACAACCTCTTTCGACGAAAAAATGCTTTTAAAAGTTAAAAAAAAAGCCTCTGATGATCGCGTGGCTCAGCTGGGATCCTCAGAGGCTTTTCAAAGCATTTTTTCCTGCAACTTCTTGACCCAAGAGGTGGTAAAAAAAATGCTTTGAAAAGTCTCTGATAATCCCAGTTGAGTTGCCCGATTGGCAGAGAAGTATTTTTTAAAATGCCTCTCTGACGATCCCAGCTGAGTTGGGAACCACCACCACCACCAAGCCATGCCCACAGAACCGGTAGTAACACATTTTACATTTCACCCTTGTTGTAACTGCTACATTGGAAGAATCTTCTATAGTGGTATTGTACACTTATCTTCGTGTATTAATATGTATATTAAGAAGTTAATGAATCCAGATGAATCAGTTATCTATGTGTGCTTCTGGATTTAATTTTTTTGCAAGAAACTGATGAAAAAGATGGTACAAAATCTGCTGTTCAGTTTCCAGAGGTGCTGTAGAAAGAAAGGCTCTAGATTTTCCTAGAGTGAAAAAATAATTTACCCATCCAGCTTGTTATTCCTACAGATACTGCAATTAATAACAAGAAACCCTGAGATTTGTCCTTATATAGGCTGGAGCTCACCTGGAGGGAGAAGCTGACTCATTGGATTTAAAATAACATTTTTCCTTTCTTTCTGTAGAACTAAGAATTGATTGAAAGTACTTTTAAGGAGTTGAGAGAGAGCTGTTCTTTGATAGCATCTAAGGTACATATTAGATAAATAGAAAACTATTGGCTTTCTGATTGTGAGCAATTTCCCCTAGATTCAAAGGCTGATATTGAGGAGTTATGTAAATAGTACAAATTATTTATGAAGGACTGGCTCAGAGGCTACCAGAACCAAGAGCATGCCATTTCATAAGCTCCAAATTTCACATTATTTAACTCTTGTTCGAATATATTTACCACTTTGTGAAATTCTTCTGTATCTTGCATTACAGGCACCCGAATTAAAAACAATAACAACCAGGTTCTTTGGGGATGGGGGCCAAATACACACTATTAGAACAGTTTTGATATCTTCATCTTTTGAGAAAGGTGCTTCATCCCAATTAACTCTTCCAACTGCCTTCTAAAACCAAGAAAGGCTTCCATACAGGATTGTGCACACAGTATAGATTACATGTTGTGCTTGCCAGAAGGGTTGGATTACAGAGGTTGCATTTAGGGAAAATGATGCTCTAGAAAATGCTAACGCTATACATTTGCTTCATATCATTATTCCTCTACTTGAAATACATGCTGAGAACTCCATGAAATTCAAAAACTAGGCAAGATTTCAGTATTAATAGCAATAGCACTTAGACTTATATATCACTTCACAGTGCTTTTACAGCCCTCTCTAAGCATATTGCCCCCAACAATCTGGATCCTCATTTTACCCACCTCAGAAGGATGGAAGGCTGAGTCAACCTTGAGCCTGGTGAGATTTGAACTGCTGAACTGCAGCTAGCAGTCAGCTGAAGTAGCCTGCAGTACTGCACTCTAACCACTGCGCCACCTCGGCACTCAATTAAACTGGTTTGTAAGCAATTGATCACTGGGCAAATGTAATATGCATATATCTAATATAATAAATTGTTTATTTATTTAAGAAGTACAGCAACAAGAATATCTCCCAGTTAACATGCTGAACTCTTTGAAAATATTTTGTCTCTCTTTTTCTCTCTCTCTTATCTATCTCTGCCTTAAATCTTATAGGAGACCACCATCCTATCTCAGAAAATGTCAGCAACCTCACACTTAACGTCTCATGCAAGAAGAGTGAAGTCTTATGACATCTCAAGACCATTTTAAATTTTGCATGGCACCCAAGAATGATAGAAATGATGCATTATTGATCCTTGGTATTTTATTTTATTATTTTTATTATTTTTAATTATTTTTAAATTATTATTATTATTACCATATTTTTCGGAGTATAAGACACACTTATTTCCCCCCTAAAAGGGGGTGAAAATTTGGGTGCATCTTATACACCAAAACAGCCCCACCCACCCACTGGCCCCCACCCTTTGGCCTCTGCCTCCCAGCAATTTATCTCCTTGCAGCAAGCAGCAAGAAGAAACAGCCCATTTCAGCTTCAGCACAGCCTAATTAGCAGAAGTTGATTGTCTGTTGGATCAGCCTCCTGACCCTCAGCTGTTTCAGGCTTCAGGGATTGCCATTGCCTATTGCTGCGTGGGCTTCTGCTGCTTGCTGCAAGGAGGTAAATTGCTGGGACCAGATTTTTTTTTTCTTGTACTAATCAAGCTATGCTGAAAACGAAAATGAAAGTAAAGCAGGCTGTTTGCTGTTTGCTGCAATGAGGCAAAGTTGCTGAGAGGCAGAGGCACATGCAGATTTCTTTTTCTTGTTTTCCTCACCAAAAAAGGTAGGTGCATCTTAAGTCCGAAGTTCAGAGTGTCTTATACTCCGAAAAATACAATATTTTATTTTACTTTACTTTACTTTACTTTACTTTACTTTACTTTACTTTACTTTACTTTACTTTACTTTACTTTACTTTACTTTACTTTACTTTACTTTACTTTATTTTATTTTATTTTATTTACTTTTTTTCTACTCATGAGGTGTTAGATAATGTTGCACTTTTACAGCACTTTGGCTTTCCCCTACTTAGACCTTCCCAAAAACTGACAAATGTCTGGGAATGTCAATTTCCTTAATTCAGAAACCTGACATCATGCCAGACAAATCTTTTTTACATTCTTTGACAAAGTAACAAAATCAGTGGACCAGTGAAATGCTGTGGACATAATTTACTTGGACTTCAGTAAGGCATTTGATAAAGTAGACCACAACCTACTACTTGATAAGAGAGAAAAATGTGGGTTAGGCAGCATCACCACCAGATGGATTCGTAACTGGCTGAGCAACCACACTCAACCTTAAGTTCCATTAAGTTCCTTAATGGAACTGCATCTATATGGGGGGAAGTATGCAGTGGGGTACCCCAAGGCTCTGTCTTAGACTCTTCAATATCTTCAATGATTTAGATGAGGGGATAAAAGGGGGACTCCTTTTCTTTTTACTAACATTTCAACGGGAGTAACTATCCCCGCTGCAAGAATCAGAAAGAATTGTAAAAAGTGGTAACTCTTTAGGCAAAAACAGCCTGAGTTTCATACACTATAATAATCTTTCTGTAAACATGATATGCAAGTTTACACAATCCTGTTTTATACTGTGGTCTGTATAGAAACTGGAATATATAAGCATAATGCGCAAAGATAGTAGAAAGGACTATTGTAGTCAAATGGTAACCAAAGAAGTAGATTATTCTATGGAATCCAGGAAAGAAAAAGAGAATATAATGGTTTTTTTGAACAGTGATGAACAGGCTAATGCAAATTTTATGGCATTCCTGTCTTTGACTCATACAGTTTTTAGATCTCTTAGAAAAAAGGGTTTTTTTTCATTGTTCACCTTGATTGCTTTTAAAATTAAATCATACAATGAAAGAAATGGCAGTGTTTTGAATCTCTCTGATTTGTATTTACAAAGTTGTTTTACTTCTTCTCCATAGCAACTTCATGATTTTCAGAAATCTCTACATTTTGTATTTGCTGTTACGTTTTAAGATCAAGATTGTAGCTTTAATGTTTGACAGTTTTAACCAAATTCGTTTTGTGTTCATTTCCAATTCTGCATGGAAGCCTTAAGTAGCAGCAATATTAACATCTTGAACAGGTCTCCTGATTTCAAACTTCTTTGCAATTATAAAGTTTTACCCATATTCATAGGACATTCGGTATAAGCTACTTGCCGTCAACACATGATGGTCTATTCCGTGTTGTCCCAGCCACTTTCCCCGGTAGACAGGAACACTTTACTGTCTGTGATCTCTCCTCAATTCGATTCTTATTACAACATCTGTGTGCTGCTATAACTTCACATGTTCCTCCTTCTGAAAACAAAGGAAAAACATAATCACTATGATTGCTCTGGGTTGCAAAACAATGATCTAAATACTTTGTATTTGGGTGGAGTTAAAAGACAGGATTTCAAAAATGTAACCTCTACATACAATACAATACAGTACAATAAACTCACAATAAGATGTGTTTATTCAAAAATACTGAATCTAGAAAGAGATGCAAAGAAAGTGAAAAAAATAATGTTACTATCTCCAATCTTCTCCAATCTTCTGAACTCTTAGGGAACTATACAATCATGCACATATAGGTGTGTCTTCTCTATCTGCAACCTAGCTATGAACTGACTCTTTGTTTAATATCCAGGAAAATCACTGTTTTATCTTTTTAATATAAAGAGCCATGGCACAGTAGTTAGAATGCAGTATTGCAGATTGACTCTGCCCACTGCCAAGAATTCAATCCTGACTGGCTGACTTGAGTCTTCCATCCTTTTGAGGTTGGTGAACTAAGGACCCAGATTGTTGGGGGTAGTATGCTGACTCTCTAAGCATATTGCCTTTACAGCTTTACAGCTTAGAGAGGGCTATAAAGCACTATGAAGTGGTATATAAATCTAAGTGCTATAAACCATGATTTTCTGTCCATCCTTGGTACCAAAGGCAAATTGTGCTTATATACCGTATGATCAGTGGTGACATTCAAATTTTTTTACTACTGGTTCTGTGGGCGTGGTGTGGCTTGGTGGGCGTGGTAGGGGAAGGATACTGCAAAATCTCCATTCCCACCACACTCCAGGGGAAGGATACTGCAAAATCCCCATTCCTACCCCACTCTGGGGCCAGCCAGAGGTGGCATTTGTTGGTTCTCCGAACTACTCAAAATTTCCATTACTGATTCTCCGAACTACTCAAATTTTCCTCTACTGGTTCTCCAGAACCTGCTGGATTTCACCCCTGCATATGATCCTAACCCTATCCACAAGGAGAGGAACTTGAACTTGAGATACATCTCCACCATCGCAAAAAAAAGTGAAGGTAAGAAAAAACTCAAATCTGCATACATGTATATGCTTCTATGCCATTCTCAAAATCCTCACCTTGTAAACCTGGAGTTGCAGTGACATCAGAAACAAGTCCAAGAGCCCCCAACCCACTATATGAATATGTAGATATGTAAATAAATCTGCTAGAAGTTACACTTCAAAAAAAAAAAAGTACAGGATGAAAGCAAATTTTGTTATCTAAAGACATAAATACTAGTTGAAAATTAATTGCCAGTAAATTAATTAATGGATTGGATGGCCCTGATTGTCAGCAACATACTCTCTGAGATCCTGCTCCTGAAGAATTGGGAATGAATGTGAAACTGGATCATAAGAGACAAGCTGAGGATTCAGCTGGTGTTCTGGCTCTCCTATCATTCATTGAAACTTCTTAGGGGCTCTGATTTTTGGACTGCTGGTAGAGCACCCCAACTTTTTGTTGGTAAGGAATTTCAGTCTCTATTTCCTGAGGTCTAAGGCCCAGGAGTTCATTGCCTTCATGGCAACCATGAGCTAATCTCAGGAAATCTGCAGCCCAACACATATACCTGGTCTTATGTTAGATCTTGGTCGTGTCTCAAAGATGTTACATGGATTTCTATCACCTCCTTGCTATGGTCAGATCCCACCTAGTTTAAAATAATATGGATTACTACCTAGGACCTTCATGGAATGAACGGATCCATTCAGATGATCTGCCCCAAACATCTAATGGGCTGGGATGATTTCTAGGGAGTGTTTGAGGCCATATTAGAGTTAATCTCTAATATCTCATGAGGAATAAGAATTCCTGTCTGAAATCCTGAGCATACAATATGGCCATCAGTGCAGCCAGGATTGAATTACATGAACTAGATGGACGGCTTTGATATTATAGCATTTTCACATTGCTTAGGTTTACAAATCAAGGCAAAGTCTTGCCATATCATAGGTTCAGGGATCTCCAACCCTGGAAACTTTACCATTTGTGGAGTTCAACTCCCAGAATTCCTCAGCTCAGTGTAGTTCAGTAATTCTGGGAGTTAAAGTCCACAAGTCATAGTTGTCAAAGTTGGAGATCCCTGGGTTAGATAGCAATAGCAATAGCATTTAGTCTTACATACCGCTTCAAAGTGCTTTACAGCCCTCTCTAAGCAGTTTACAGAGTCAGCCTATTGCCCCCAACAATCTGGGTCCTCATTTTACCGACCTCGGAAGGATGGAAGGCTGAGTCAACCTTGAGCCTGGTGAGATTTGATCTGCCAAACTGCTGGCAGCTGGTGATCAGCAGAAGTAGCCTGTGGTACTGCACTCTAACCACTGCATCACACGGCTCATAAATGTAGAGATAGTTCTCGACTTACGACCATAATTGAGCCCAAAATTTCTGTTGCTCAGTGAGACATTTGTTAAGTAAGTTTTACCCCACGTTTCGACCTTTGTTGCCACAGTTGTTAAGTTGGAATAACTTCTTGTCAGTTTGAGTGTACACTAATCGGCATACATTAAAAAAATGAAATTTTGTTGCAAGCGAATCACCATCTTTTTTGCCACAGTCATTAAATGAATCACTGCATTTGTTAAGTTAGTAACATAGTTGTTAAGTGAATCTGACTTCCCCCTTGACTTTGCTTGTCAGAAGGTCACAAAAGGGAATGATGTGATGCCAGGACACTGCAATCATCATAAATGTGAATCAATTGCCAAGCCTCTGAGTTTAGATCATGTGACTGTGGGGACGCTGCAACAGTCATAAGTGTGAAAAATGGTCATAAATCACTTTTTTCAGTGCTGTTGTAAATTTGAACAGTCACTAAATGAACTCTTGTAAGTCGAGGACTATCTGTACTCCTTCCTGAATATTGCAGTACACTGACAGATGGGGTATGGCTACAGATAAGAATGAAACCACATACTACAGTATGAGCTGAGGTGGCGCAGTAGTTAGAATGCAGTACTGCAGGCTACTTCTGCTGACTGCCGATTGCCTGCAGTTTGACAATTCAATTCTGACCTGCTCAAGGTTGACTCAACCTTCCATCCTTCTGAGGTCAGTAAAATGAGGACCTAGTTTGTTGGGGGCAATATGCTGACTCTGTAAATCACTTAGAGAGGGCTGGAAAGCAATGTAAAGCGGTATATAAGTCTAAGTGCTGTTGCTATTGCTACTACAGTATGCAGAAGTTTTATACTTCCAGTGCTTTAGGCAAATACCCTTACTCCATAATTAATGATTAGTTTGTCTGCACTTGGTGCCTTAAAACGGTGAGATTGTTGCATATTTACATAATGGTTATCTTTGGCCTGAGAACCACAGATTCCCACCTCACCCCCTCATCTGTTGCAAGTACACAGAGCTGCAGGAAAAGCTGCTGAATTGGTTATTAGCCACTCGGTAAGGAAAACTATTGGTTCAAAGTGTCCTATCAGCTGACAGAAACCCAAAACTTTGAGCACTAAGTGCCAGAGTCCATAATGCATATGTAATGCTTAAGTGTTTTCATGCGCAACTTTAAAAGCAAACCATGTAACCCGATGCCAAAATGAGCTATACAAAGATAATGTTGGAAAAATGAAAAACTGAGCAAAATTGATGGATCTACCAATTCCTTCCTGTGCTGGATATATTTCAAACTATGCAGATGATCAATATCTCTTTGGAAATATCAGAGCAATTAAGCGATATCAGAATCTCTCTTGCAACTCCTTAATGTCACCTGTGTCACAATGACCTTATTGGGGATGGGGGTTGGTTGGTTTCCATGTTTGATGTATTGTTCTTGTGATAAGCTGGCCTTTCGAAAAAAAAGAAGGTGGAACCAGCCCAGCCACTTTAAATGTCATATCCTAAAACTGCTTGCTAAGAGTCAACCCCTAATGTTTGTAGTAAGCTTGATGTAATTTTAAATATTCAAACCTTCAGCTTTCAGGGTTGAGTCAATCAAAGCTGGTTAATGTCTGTTAAGGTAAAAGACTTTAGGTCATGCTCTCAGGGGGTTCAATATTGATGAGTTTGCAAACTGAAAGCAAGATAGACCACGAGGTTAATATTTAATTCTTCTCATCAAGAACAGTTTCCTGTATGGCACAGAAACAGCTTTAGTTGTCTCTGACCCAACTCTTTCTGGGAGCTTTATCAAAGCCCATAGCATTCTATTCCATTTAAACCTCTTGTAGCAGAAATGCAATCTGAAAGAATTAACATCTCCTGAGATCCAAGCTTTGAATTTTACAGAAAAAAATGTATGTAAGATCTGTTCATCCAGTCTCATCCGTTGACATTAAAAGGGAGTTAATTGTTATGGTTAGCATCAGAACCTTCAAGGTATCAAGCCCAGTAATGTTCTCTAAGATCATCTGCAATTAGACTTCTTAACTGTTATTTTTGTTGTTGCTTTCTTTTTCATAATATGCGAATAGGAAAAAGTGGGTGAGACGGCTCAGTGGTTAAGATGCTGAGCTGGTCAGCTGGAAAGATGACAGCCTGGATTTGAAATTCAAGCGCTTTGCAACGGGTTGAGCTCCTGTTACTCACCCCAGCTTCTGCCAACCTAGCAGTTGTAAAACATGCAAATCAGTAGTGGGTTTCACTTATCTTCTCTACCGGTTTGGAACTGTGAGCTTGTGCATGGCGCTTCTGTGCATGCGCAGAACCTTCTGCGCATGCACAGAGCGTCTGTGATGAGGTCCGGGTGGGTGGGCAGAGCCTCCCGCCACCGCCATTACCAGTTTTCCCGAACCGGGGCGAACTGGTAGAAACCCACCACTGATGCAAATGTGAGTTGATAAACAGGTTACTGCATTCCATATTTTCATGCTGGGAGCATGATGGTGGAAATGTCTTTCAGACAACGCAGGCTCCCTTGGTTGAGAATTAGAGATGAGCACTGCCCCCCCATGAGTTGGGGTGGACAGGAGAAACCTTTAAACCTTTACATAGGGAACATTTGTTATTGTTCAATTGCTAAGTGATGTCTGACTCTTTGCAACTCCATTGACCATAGCATG